TAGCTTTAAATTAATCTTTTAGATCAAGTTTAGATATTATTTAGATATTTTAAAATATATTTCTAACATTAAAAGTACGCAATCGAGTGATCAAAGGGGGATTCAAAGGTGGATCGAATTTCCTCTTTCTCGCTCTTTGTTGACCCAAATGAGGTCATTTTGTTTGGTTTGATTTGCCCGATTTGAGCGTAAACAAACAGTGTAAACAAATAAAAACGAATGAAATCAAAGCAAAGATTTGATTGTTTCTTTTTGAACAAATTCTTGAGCATTCTTGTTCTTGAGCATTTTTGTCTCTGACTTGGAATCGCTTTTGGCAGTTTTGAAAAGTGATTGGAGTCATTTTATTGGTAAAATTGGATTGATTGAATCAAATCTTGCAACCAGTACAAAATTGGATAGTTTATTTAGATTTTAGGCTTATTTAAAAGTTCCATTCATCTTTTAAAAGTAGCTTTTAACGCATTTGAAAATCCTTCTGTTTTTTGGTTTTTCAGAGAGCAAAAAGTCGAGGGATCTAACGCAAAAAAAGCCTAATGATAAAGTCAATTTCAAGCGCCGTTTCTTCCCTCTTTTTTTGCATATATACAAAGTAAAAGATGTCAGTAAAAGATCAGTAAAAGATGATAAATAACATTTAGTGCTCCAAATTTCATCATTCGCTTTTTGGCATAAAATGGAGGAGAAAAAATTCTGTATTCGAGCTGAGTTGGTTCGGGAAAAAAGTGGTTCTACGATTTTAGACAAGAAAAATCACCAGCTGAATCTCATCGCACGATCACTCACTGTTTTTGGAGAGGAAAGTATACACATTCATCAATGCCAACAATGGTTTCAACGATTCCAAGGCGGCGATGAAAGCCTCGTAGACTTAGTACTCAATTCTAATTGCAGTATTAGAAAGTAGCTTTACGACTAACATCTACTGTAACATCTACATACTTATTGGTGATAGGTTACCTTTAAGACCGACTTGGAAGTTTTAAATTACCGAATTAATTCATTATCTTCCAATTTTAAACAAAAAAAAATGCCATTCAAACAAGTTATCTTTTTATATTGAAAGGATATGATTCAAGGCTTTTGTAAACTTTTTTTCTTGTTCAACTCACTTTCTCAGTTGTCCCGAGGTTTTCGATGAAGCGACACTGTCCCCAATGAGTGTCGACGCCGCTGATGAGCCACCAGAAATCACCGAACGATTCTCATCCTGAAGTTGAACCATTTTTTTTAATTAAAATTGTTTAGTTTCAATCTAGTTCAAGCCAAAATTTAAAATTTAAAATGCCAAAATGTTCTTTATTGTAAAGCCAAAATGCCAAAATGTTCTTTATTGTAAAGCCAAAATGCCAAAATGTTTCTTTAAAGCTTTAAAGTTTCAATAGCAGTTTACTAGGGTAACTGAAAGCTGTGCTTGACTCGATTTTTGCTGTTTTCCATTAGATTTTTAAAAAATTTCATATCTAAATTAGCTTTTCCTCAATTTCCCACCTGATTCTGTGAAAACGACAATCGACTTGAGTGATTGTGAGCCGGATTGCGCATCGCATTCCACTTGAAAAGCTTTTCTTAAGCCAAAAAAACACTTCCAAACGAAGAAAAGCAGCTAAAAATTCGAATAATTTACAAACAATTAAGATAAACAATTGTTTTTTCAATTAAAGCAAACAAAAGAAGTAATTAAGTCTAATTAAACACATCGTTCAATTGAGGTGAATGGCTTGAAATTTGGCAAAGAGGCAAATCGGTGCATCTGTGTCTCTTTCAAGGATTACGGTAGATGATCCAAGGATTTTGAGAGCAGAAATGGAATTGGCTATTAGCATTAGCTATTAGAGAAGAAAGAAAATGTATTTGCTATGAATTTGACTCAATTTTAAGTCTAAATTTCTTAAAGATTGGACTTTTTTCTCACTAAAGTATGCCTGTATCTAAATGAATCTTAAAATTAACAAGTTTTCAAGTACCCTAAAGTCTCGAGTATAAGTTCTGCCTTAATTTACATTTAAAGGGCTCTGATGGAAGCTCGAAACGGTCAAATTTGCGAGGAAATTTGGAACGAACGTGGCTGCGATCGAATTTGAAGTCGCCGAACAGATGATTAACCGCTGGAAACAAGCTGAGCCGGCACTGATGAGTTCACCAAAAAATAATCGAGCTTTCCGAGGATTGAGGGCAAAATGGCCAGATGTGGAGAAAGATCTGAAGGCATGGTTTCTGGAGAGGCGATCAAAACAACGAGCTGTAAATGAGCTGTAAAAGCAAAAAAGTTATGCTGCAGCGGGGTTCGAACCCTCGACACACCGCACCGGAGACAGCCGTCAATTTGCATGCGAAAACCAAACAGAACTTATACTCGCGACTTTAGGGTAAGTTTTCATAACATAACTATTTCAAGTGAGTTTCCAAGTAGCTTTTCAAGTAAGTTACAAAGATATTCAGCTTTATTAGCTCGCTCGGTGCTCTAGTGGTTAGTGCAATGGCTTACCAGTATGCCTGATTAATGTATCTAAATGAATCTTACAAATCTTACAATTAACAAGTTTTCATGTAAGTTTTCATAACAGAACTATTTCAATTCAGTTTTCAAGTAAGTTACAAAGATATTCAGCTTTATTAGATGAATCTTTTAATTGGCATACTGTAGTGAGAAGTGTATTCTTTAGAATTAATGTTTTTTTAAAGAATCACCAATAATAAACAACAATAAAATCTCTAATTAAAGTTTTATTTAAAAACCAGCTTTCCCTTTGAATGGTTAAGGGTCAACGCATAATTTCAAAAAAAATAATTATAGTGGGAGTGTACGAAATATATGTTGATGATTTGATTTATATAATTTCTTGTGGGACCGTGTCTCGGTGTGGTTCAATAGTGGTCGTCTTGAAAACGCACAATTGATCAAAACTTTCCCTTATTAGGGCAAACGTCGCTCAAACTGGAGCAATCTGGCACGATCACAATTAATTCAACACTTGCATGTGAAAAAAGGATGATCAAAAGCCAAAAAAGGAGAACTCACTCAAAAGCAAAGCTTGAAATAACGGGGTTTTTTTTAAAGTATACAAGCTACAACAAACGGACAGCTGAATATCGTCTAGTGACTGATTACGGTAGTTTATCCATCAACTTTGAATTTAAACCTGTGTATTGAATTTTTGACTAACTGCAGAGCAGTGGCAATTCGCCACAGGGAGAAAACTATTCTAAACAGCTTTGCCCCGTTGATTGATCGACGCAACCATGAAATTTCTATTGTACTACTTCAAATGATACCTCAAAACTATCGAAATTGGCTTTGCAACAGTTAAAATCAATTTTGAAAAGAAAAGCAAAAATAATTTTCTCGGAGCGGAACCGAACCCAAGGTCCATCTTTCCCACTCTCGTTTGAAAGACGAGCGCTCTAACCACTCATCCATTTGTGTGTGGAGGGAGTTAGGCAACATTGTGTTCAGCTAGTTTTACAGTTTTTGCCATTTAAAAAACCGCTCGATGAAATTTTCTGATTTTTAAGCGGAGAAAAAAAATTCCTATTGAACAAAAAAAAAGTGCGTCTGCGTCAAATATTGTTTTAAAAGCTTCACTCGGAATTTCTCGGTGGTCTAGTGGTTATTGCAATGGTTTACCAAGCAGAGGGTCAAGAGTTCAATTCCCCGTCGAGTTTTTCATTTTGCTTTTCATATTAAAAAAGAAGTTTTTCTTGGTGTTTTTAATTTGTTGATGGGTGATTTGAAAAGATAACGTAATCTACCGTAAACTACCGTAAGTTTTCTAATTTATTTAGTGAAAATCTCGGGAGTGGGACAAATGCGACCTTTTTTTTGCGCACCCGGACATTTGCGCACCCGGACATTTGCGCACCTTTTTTTCCGCACCTTGCCCATTAGCGCGTTTTAAGAAAGCTCTAAAAAGCTAATATTAACCAATTTCTATTCCAAAAGTTGTTTTTCTAGGTAATTTTAGGGCGTAGAATCGAAATTTTGACATATCAGAGCTTGTGGAAACAAACGGACGGAGTTATACAAAGAGAAAGATCGACAATTTTCTGTAATTTGATCTAGCCGTTTTGTCTAGCCGTCTAGCCGCTCAAATTGGTTCCACACGCTCTGTTATGTCAAAATTTGACTTCGACACCCTCAAATTACCTAGAAAAACAACATTTGGAATAGAAATTGGTTAATATTAGCCTTTTAGAGCTTTTTAAAAACGCGAAAAAAGGTGCGCTAATGGGCAAGGTGCCGAAAAAAAGGTGCGCAAATGTCCGGGTGCGCAAAAAAAGGTCGCATTTGTCCCACTCCCACAATCTCATTTGATAAGGAGCCAAACAACGAATCGAATAGGAGAAAAAGGAAAACGTAAAAAACTGAAGAGAAAATAACGATAATTTTTTAAATTACCTGAAGTAAAAGTTTAAAGTTTAAATTTAAAACCAATTACGGATAAGTTTTTCATTCATCTTTAGCTTTTAACTCATCTTTAGAAACTTTAAGTGAATCAAATCCTTTACAGCATCATTAGAGATCGATTTAGTGTTCAATATTTGCTCAAATCTTCTGAATTGAATTGAATTGAATGCATTTTAGCAATTTAATTAGCATTTTAACAATTTAATTAGCATTTTAGCAGATTCAAATTTATCCTTGAAATTTAGAAAAGGCACACATAAGAAAAGCACTTTGTTCAATTTGAAAAGAAAAATTTGATCGATTTTTAAGGGAATCGTGACTAAGACTTTCAAAAACACAAAATGAAAAACAATTCGAGAAAACTGAACACAGAATAGATATTGGAATCAGGCTTGTAGGCGGAAAAGAAGCGGAAAATGGAATATCTTTTGATTTTCAAAGAAAAAGTCAACAAATGGGGCAGTTACGCAATTTTTTCGTTGAATTTTCCTTTACAAATCAAAAGATACTAAATTCGGCTTTTTTTGGTTTACAAGCCTGATTGGAATGGTGAGACAAGAGTTGATTCTGATTCAAAAATAGGATCAATTTATTTATGAGCGGGCGGAGGATTCTCATTCTTCTTTGCGTACTTTTCCTTGATGCTGTTCACCTGGAAAAGTTGATTTTGAAATTGGAAAAGGATCAAAATCTAATGGTGACTTGTAAAGGTACTTGCTGGATAATAGATATTGGAATCTACAGGAAATTGATCTTTATTCAAGTCAACACTCCTTTAAGAACAAAACACTCAATCAATTGCAGCTTATTTTACCAACTACAGACGAACTTCGATATAATGAACCTAAAATTTGCCTCAAATTTTCTGCGTAACGGCCCTGGACGGCCACTGATTGCATTTGGCTTGGGCAGCTAGAGTGCAAAAGCCAAGGTTTGGCCTTTTTTGGAAGAATCACCCTTTCCCGTTGTGATATTCGTGATCAGCAGACAAAAGTACTTAGGAAAATGAATTTTCAGGTACCTCCCCCACCCACCGTTCATCGAAGTTCAACTGTACTTACATTTACATTTATTCATACGAATAATTTGGTACAAACAATACACAGGCACAACCCCTAAGTCCTAAATATAGGGAAGAAAAAAAGATCAATGCCGTATTCTCTCTAATAGTAGTGCACCCTGATCGTCGTCTAAATTCCTCGATAACTCGAAAAGCGCTTACCAGAACCTATCGATGTGAGGTCGGAAAATGTAGCTGACGATGAGATCTAGTGGGGGATTAGAGTGTTGAGCTTCTGCAAAAGCTTGGAAACCGTCAATAGCCACCACCTCGGCTCGGCGCGGTGCACTACTGTTTGAGAAAATACGGTAATCCATCGGTTTGTAATTGAATGTGATTGTGTAATTGTAAACTGAATTATGTAATTACCGTATTTGCTCTGATAGTAGTGCACCCTGATCGTCGTCTAAATTCCTCGAAATCTCGAGAACCGCTTATCAGAACCTATTGATGTGGGGTCGGAAAATGTAGCTGACGATGAGATCTAGTGGGGGATTAGAGTGTTGAGCTTCTGCAAAAGCTTGGAAACCGTAAAATAGTCACCAACTCGGCTCGGCGCGTGCTCTACTATTAGAGAGAATACGGTAGATGGAAAAAAGCCATAATCTAGCCCACGATTGAACCCACGCTTGACCACTCGACCGAGATACAGGACTCTTAGCCAGTCGGCCATTTGTCACTTTTGGATCTTTATCAGAATTTAGGTTTGTTTAAAACAAATCTTAGTCTCACTTAATCAAAAAACTCGCAAAAAATGTATCATTTTCATTTGATTTCACCATTTTTGACCCTGGTCGATCAGCAGCGAATGAGAAACACCGATTTTTCTCCCATTTTAAGCCTAACCAATTGAGAAATAGTCAAAGTTACTGAATTTATGTCCAGTATCAAAAGTTTCTGTTTGTTTTCTGTCAAAAGCTCTAAAATCTAGCAATCTATTCAATGTTTCTCTTGGGAGATGAAATGAGTTTGAAAAACTGAAAGTCTTTGCCCCTCTTTGGCTTCAAGCAGATCTTGAAGTTAGATCTTAACTCACTACTTGTCAGTTATCGATGAAAATAAGTTTAGATGATGATTTTTGTTACCTTTTGCTTAGTCTGTTCATTGAAATTTGCCAATTTCTCTTCGACTTTCGCTTTGTTGATAATGAGAGCCGGTTCATTGGGAGCACCGCCGAAGTTCATCTAGAAGTCTATTTATTGAAAAGATAAAGACAAGGCAAAAAGACAAGAAAAGACAAGACAAAAAGTTCAATCAACTACCTTGAACAATTTCCCATTTAACGGATCCGATGGTTTCGGGTGTTTACAGAAAGTGGCATCGAATTCGGAGAAGAATTTCTTCAAGAATGGCTTGTTCGCGGCGAGGGCTTGCTAAAAAGAGAAAGGTTTTCAAATATTTGAAATCTTTTTGAAAAGCCAAATCAGATGAGTTTCAATTTCGATCAAAAATTTAGCCAAATTTAAGCCAAAGATTGATTACATAAATTTCGGTCTAGTGGCGCCTAGGGGACAGGGAGAACTTCATCCAGATTTCCCCGAGTATATCTAGCGTTATCATTTTCATAACTGGACAACCCAATCTTTCAAATTCCAGACAAATCTCAATCTCATTTGGGCTCTCGTAGTCGGTAGCGTTTCGTTGGGAGCACTTGCTGGAGCTCTTCTTGTCAAGTACGTTTTTGGTTTGGTCGCATAATTTAAACTGCTATAATTACTCAGTTTCAGTGCTATAAATTTAATAATATTTTCATGTTTTTATTCTAAACTTTTTTTTTTTTTAAATTTTTTTTTTTTTTTTTTTTTTTTTTTAAAAATAAAAAATAAAAATTAAAAAATTTTTTTTTTTTTTTAATTTTTTTTTTTTTTAAAATTATAAAAAAATTTTTTAAATTTTTTTTTTTTTTTTTTTTTTTTATGGTAAAAGGGGGGGTTTTTTTTTTTTTTTTTTTTTTTTTAAAAAAAATTTTTTTTTTAAAAAAAAAAGGGGGGGGAAAAAGATTATTTTTTTTTTTTTTTTATTTTTTTTTTTTTTTTTTTTTTTTTTTTTTTTTTTTTTTTTTTTTTAAAATTTTAATAGAGGGGGGGATTTTAGGGGTGTTTTTTTTTTTTTTTTTTTGAGAGGTATAACGAAAACATCTGTCGGCCCTTTTTACCATTGACAATTTCAGGTTTTTCGTGTTTTTATTAGCACCAACCATTTGATTTTGACCATTTTGACTATCATTCGATGCAGAATAAAATTGCGCATCGAATGATACCAAAATTAGCTAAAAATGTAATATCCATGCAAAGTTATTGCCTAAAAATCTAAACCCCGCTCATAATGGGCGGGACCTAATCTTTTGCCTCATGACTTTCCATGGATATTACATTTTTAGCTAATTTTGGTATCATTCGAAGCGCAATTTTATTCTGCATCGAATGATAGTCAAAATGCTCAAAATCAAAGGATTGGTGCTAATAAAAACACGAAAAACCTGAAATTGCCAACGACAAAGAAGGATCGACAGATGTTTTCGTTACAAGTTTACTGAGTCCTCCCTGCCCCCTAGGCGCCACTAGACCGAAATCTATGTAATCATTTATGTAATCATTTATGAAATAAATGTTATGAGGCAAAAGATTAAGTCCCGCCCATTATGAGCGGGGTTTAGATTTTTAGGCAACAACTTTGCATGGATATTATATTTTTAGCTAATTTTGGTATCATTCGATGCGCAATTTTATTCTGCATCGAATGATAGTCAAAATGGTCAAAATCAAAGGATTGGTGCTGAGAAAAAACCTGAAATTGCCAACGGCCAAAAAGGACCTACAAATGTTTTCGTTACAAGTCTAGGGCTCGGTCGCTCACCGCTTTTTCCCCCTTTACGGATTCAAAAAGGGGAAGCTCTTTATACTGAAGCGGTTTGCCAGGTCCGCGAGCGATTACGCTGCCGTACAAAGAACACCGGACCCGTCATTTACATAGAGAATCTTCTTTTGCTTTGCAAATCGTTCAAAAAGAAGATATTTTACTGTAAATTTGTATCCGGGGGTTTTCGAGGTCAGGGAATCGACTGAGAATGTTCATTTTATTGAATCTACCAAATATCTGGATCATTCTGTCCCTGGCTTTCTCAGCGAACGGTCAAAAATGAAAAGAAAACTGAGGAACCAGGCCTATTAAATAGCAACAAATTCCAAAGTCACAATTGAACTCTAGTTGATCTTCACAAAAAAGCTTCAACAGTTTTCGGAGCCGGGAATCGATTGGACCTATTCATTTTATTGCTTCCTTTTATTTTATTCATTTTATTGAGTCCACCAATTGAAACACTCGGGTTTCATTGATCAATCGTTACAAAAAATTCTTTTACCTGTACTTCCGGGCTCTCATTCTTTAACCACGCTTTATATGCAAGATATGAAGACTCGGCGCTCTTTTTCTGCTCATAGTCCGAACATTTTGTGCTCGTCTCAGGCCCCAAATGAAGCAACTCGCGGAGTGATTTCCTGTAAATAGGAAATTGAAACAGGAAGAGCTGAACATTTGCAACATTTTTATTTGGATAACTAGACTCTATACTGATCAAATTCTTTATACTAATGATCATATTGCTGAGATTACATGTTTTCCGTAGCTTTTAAACGTAGCAAGTTTTAATCAGCAAGCAAATCTATTGAATATAAGCTTTTCTGTAAAGTTTATATCTAAAAGTTTAAGATCTGACTGAGAATGAAAATTTGATAGTGAAATACTGTAATCAGAGTTGTTCCAACAGGTCCTTGGGTTTGTAAACAAGTTCAGGCAAAGCTTAAGCCCAATCAGAATGGCTCAGAATGCCCAGAGCCCAATCAGAACGGCTCAGAATGCCCAGAGCCCAATCAGACGGCCAGAACGGCGCACAGAACGCCATGCCCAGAGCCTAATCAGAGCGGCCAGAATCCCAGAGCCCAATCAGAACGGCTCAGAATGCCCAGAGCGCATTCAGAACGGCTCAGAATGCCCAGAGCCCAACCAGAACGGCTCAGAATGCCCAGAGCCATCAGAACGGCTCAGAATGCCCAGAGCCCAACCAGAACGGCTCAGAATGCCCAGAGCGCATTCAGAACGGCTCATGCCCAGAGCCTAATCAGAGCGGCTCAGAATGCCCAGAGCCCAATCAGAACGGCTCAGAATGCCCAGAGCGCATTCAGAACGGCTCAGAATGCCCAGAGCCTAATCAGAGCGGCTCAGAATGCCCAGAGCCCAATCAGAACCCAACCAGCAAAGCCAAAGTCAGCCAGAATTAGGATCCGACCTGACTTGCGCCCAACCTGCCTGGTTTACAGGCCCTAGAGGCCTATTGTAGCTTTCTTGGGGTGTTAAATGAATGAAACTTGACTTCTCAAACTCACCACCCACAAAACGACTCCCTATCGCATTGGCGGCACATTTTAAAAGAATCTCAAATTAAATACAGAAAGCGAAAATAAACTCTATCTAACTCCAAGGTTCCCAGTCAGAATCTGATCCTGATATTTCTCTCAAAAAACTTACATTTTTGTATATTTCGATGCTTCCCTTTGCTTTCTTTCCCAAATTCAGCGGCGATTTTTACGTAAATTGACCGTTTGTGCAAATATCCTGATTGAAATTTGTGGAGGAGAAAAGCCGAAAAATGACGAGAAAAAGAGGAATTCCCTTGAAGTTTGCACTCAACGAGGAAAAAACGGCAGCTGATTTGTGCTGAGCCTGTAAATGGAAATGCATTTGGGAAGATTTTGCAGAAAAATGTTCGAATAAAAGTGTTTGATAATGAGATGGGAATTGATGTTTTGGAAACCTTAAATTATAATTAGAAATTAGATCCTACTCACTACTCACATTTGATCCTAAGAAAGGATACATGTTTTACTAATAAATTTACGGTTCTGATAGTCATTCGTCTGATAGAGATCTGATAGAGATCATAAGCACTTCTAAGATTAATTTCTGACAGAGTTTTGCATTTAGAGCTTCTACTTAGAGCTCTGAAAAGCTTGGTGTTCAAGGAGAAGCCAAGATAGCAAAGAAAGAGCTTGATAGTCAAGTCATGAACAAAGTAAACAAGTCATCCAAATCCAGACAGCCATATGGCCATATAAGCATGCAAAATATTGAAAAGTATCGGAAAAAAGTTTCTGAAGTTGAAAAAAACTTTTATTGATTCACAGATATACCATAAATACTTTAAGCGCATACTCAAATAGAAGCGCACCTCTAATAAAAGCCCACCTGCTTGCGTGCAACGATACGTCAAACAAGAAGGAGGGCTTAGCAAAATTCACGGGAAGCGAAAGAGGTTTGAAGGCGGGGACCGGCATTTTATTTCAAAAGAGATCGATGAAGCCTTCGCAATATAGGTTCAGGAAAAAAGAAGCGAAAAAATTAGTAACTCGTCGGATCATTTGGCACAAAACAGGAAACCGATTTACTAAAGACGGACGGAAAAAGAAATCGATGATCTTTTGGAGCCACTCCAATTAACACGACTTCTGGGATTCTGCGAACTTGATCATCAAGAAGGAATCGATGAATTTATTGATTCAGACGCATCGCTTTGTTTTGATTGATTGATCTGTTTTTATGTATAAATCACTGCCGTTAAAGATGAATGAATGAAATTCAAAAGTCAAAAAATGTCAATGAATTATCTAGAAGACTTCCAGATTGGGTTGTCCAAAGATTTCTTAAGAGGATAATTAAACGCGCACGCTCAAAGAGAGGCGCGCACGCTCAAAGAGAGGCGCGCACGCTCAAAGAGAGGCGCGCACGCTCAAAGAGAGGCGCGCACGCTCAAAGAGAGGCGCGCACGCTCAAAGAGAAGCGCGCACACTCAAAGAGAAGCGCGCACGCTCAAAGAGAGGCGCACCCCAGAGGGGGGAGGAAAAATTAGAAGCGCATGCGTTTCTATTAGAGTATTTTCAGTTGGTGAAAATCTATCGTTAACAATTGTAAAAGTTACATAGATGCAGTAAGAGTAATATGCAGAGAAAAGAGAAGATGAAAAAGAGAAAGGTGCAGTTGTCGACCCTGTGGATGGGGGTGAGGGGGACAAAAACAAGTTCTCGTGTCTCCCCCCTTCTTCCATTTCTCTCATCATCCCCACAAAATTGATCTCTCACTCACCGTCTATTCCCTCAAATCAGCACTATTTCTCTTTATATTTTTCCATTTCTCTAGTAATCATTTCCTCCAATTTCCCGTGAAATCACCTATGGAAAATATTGGGAAAATTTTGCGATCCACCCCCCTTCAACTATCTGTTTTGTCATATTAAAGTTGAAACTTGTTTTGAGATATTAGATTTCACGGGATTTCAAGCGAAATTTAAAGTAAACTTGTGCAAGAAAAGGATTCAAATGAAAGTTTTAATGGAAAAGTAAAGTTCTAATGATTAATGGATATAGAAGAAAGAGTACTTGATCGTTATAATTCCCCAGCTTTAGTTAGAATCTTTGCAAGACTAAAATGCGCTTTGGCCCTGGTTTTACTTTATTTCATTATCTTCAGGTCTGATTGTCTTTTATGAATGAAATAAATCTTGATAGATAATTCATCATATAAATTAACTTATAACTCACCTCATAAGAGCCAATTTTTCTTGAAAATCATTAACTTTTTCTATTTTGAAAGAGGAATTTGCATAAAGTATAGCCTGAACTGAAGATAGGATTTAGAAATGGATTAGATTCAAATCAACTAATTGAAATTCAGATAAACTGACTGAAAAAGCTTTCCAAATATAGTTAGCTTTCATGGATTTCATGGATTTCAAGCAAAATTTAAAGTAAACTTGTGCAAGAAAAGGATTCAAATGAAATTTTTAATGGAAAAGTAAAGTTCTAATGATTAATGGATATAGAAGAAAGGGTACTTTATCGTTATAATTCCCCATTTTCCTATACATCAATACCGTTACACTTCCGCAACCTACTTTTTACTATGGTAATCTAGAATTACAATCTTTTGGACGTTTACAAGGATCGTTCACTCGAGATTTACGTAAAAAGGATTAAAGGCTCTAAGGCTTGTGCGCCCTATTGATGTGAAAGCCTTTTTTCATTCCTTGGTGAAAGGCTAAATTCAATACCAATCCACTCTAATCAGTTGACTGGTATGAGATTTTTATTGGATATTCAAAACAAGCCCTCTACACCTTTTCGATAGGATTTAGAAATGGATTAGATTCAAATTAACTAATTGAAATTCAGATAAACTGACTGAAAAAGCTTTCCAAATATAGTTAGAGTTTCATTTTAAAGTTTGTTTTAACGATTCAAACTTAGTATGGTCATTTTCTCGAAGAACAACCAATCATGATAAAAGCAAAATGTTCAAGTATTCTTTTGAGAAAGATAAAAGTATCTCTTTCCTTGCAGACTCTGCCTCTGATGAGGTGAGTTATTTTCGCAAATTTATTTACTTATTTGATAGAGGAAACCGGTTTTCCCAATACGTAGAAAAAAAATTGGTCGGTTTTTTTAGTGATTAGTCAGAGGAATTCAAACTAAAGTAGGTACTTCAAACTACTTTGAACAAAGTAGGTAATTGCTGAGTAGCAAAGACAAAAAAAGAACAAAGATAAGGTAATTGTTGACAAATGTAAACAAAAATCTAAGTTCTGCAAGTAAAATTAAAAACTGATAAAAAAGCTGTCTTTCTCTGGTAAAAAGCGATTTGAGAGCCGAAATTTCGTCAAGTTACCATCTGGTTTCAAAGCTAAAATTCTTTGATCAATACTGAAAGAATCCATCAAAACTTCGAGTCACTTTAACAATAGCTTTTATTTCTTATTCTTATTCTTAAACGAAAACTTATTTGTAAGACTTGTAAGTTAGTCAAGCCAAGTTAGCCAAGCCAAGTTAGCTAAGCCAAGTTAGCCAAGCCAAGTTAGCCAAGCCAAGTTAGCCAAGCCAAGTTAGCCAAGCCAAGTTAGCCAAAGTTTTGCCGATTAGCGGTTTTTGAAAACAGTTTCTGAACGTACATTTTCCGGCCTTTCTTTTGGCATCTATCTCATATTGTAACTCGCGGGTAATTTGGGGAAGGTTCCCTTGTTAGCAAAACACAAAAAACAATCATCAGAACAATTTGGAAGACTAACTAGCTGGGCTAATTTGGTCTATCCTTGCATTTTATAGCTTTACTTTTGGTTCTGGATAGTAAATTCAGTATAATCTATTATGGAAAAGAAAAACTAAGAAAAACCTAAAAATGTTCTATGATCTATTCTATGATCTAATAAATGATCTAATAAAAATGATCAAATAGTTTAATCAAGCAGCGAATGAGCCCGAAAAAAGTTTTCCTTTGAAGGAATGTTTGATTTGTAATCGGAATGAATCATTGAAAATATGATTTTTTTGGCATTTTTGAGGCTGGTTATCAAATTTTATAATATTTGGTTGTAAATTATGACTAAGCCGTCAAAGTTTTATTTAGAAATGCCCAATTAGTCGCTTTGCACCCGTTTCCTCTTTTTAAAATGTTTTTTTATTCATTTGTAGTAGTTTGAAACGAATTTGAGCTTATTTTTTAAAAGCATATGCTTGAAAATGTTTAAAATTACGTGAAGTGCCATACAAAGAAAACCGCTGAACGAATTTCTCTGAAATTTCGGCTATAAGTATAACTTTTTATGCTCTATCTTTTTTCTATCAACATCAAAGTAGGTTAGTGTGGAAGAAATGATTTAAATTATTGAGTTTGGGGTTCGACCCGCTTTAACCTTATCAACGAGGATGATTCTGCTTAAGAATGGCCGAATAGCACAAAAGGTTAAAAAGGGTTTCCCCAAAAGCGCTTATAACGTAAGAAGAACATGTAGTATCCAACAATAGATTAATACTCTTGAGAAGAGTACGGATCGGATTGATACTACGTCGATGGTGACACAAATGTTAGTAAAACAGTCTCTCTACAATGTTAAACCAGTTATCTAAACAGGATTTCAAACCTGAAGGGTAGCATAAAGTGAAGTGAATTTAAAACGTTACTGTTTATTAGTACAGAACCGAAATACAACAATACCTATTACAAAAACAGCATGCGCATCAAAAATGAAACAACAAAGTCCCCCCAGAAAGAAGGCAAAAAAAAAACAATTTCGGGAAGGGAGAAAAAAAGAACGAAAAATGCGACGCGAATAATTGCAAAATAGCAACGCAAATAGGAAGGAAACGGACGCGACCATTGAGTTGGTGAATTGAAAACTGCCGGCTATTGTCATATGTCACAGTTTGAGCACGTTCTTCAAAAGAAACCCATTTTGGTGTCAATGGAAAAGTTGTAGAGAATCAAAAATTAAGCTTATATCCAAATTTTCAGAACGATTCAAAAACTGGTTTTTAAGAAATGCCAAATTTACGCAAAAGAAATGGCAAATTTTCACAAAACTTGCATTTTAAGCGAAAC